TTTCAAAAGAGGAAAAACAAAGGTTGAAAGATGAAAAGACCAGGGTTGATGATTTATATGGTTATTGTTACTTAGATGGACGTAAAGAAAAAGTTGATAATTTTAAAATCAAGCCACCTGGTTTGTTTAAAGGTCGTGGTGTTCATCCTAAAACTGGTTCATTGAAGTATAGAGTCACTCCTGAGCAAATAACAATTAATCTCAGTAAAGATGCACCCATCCCTCCTCCACCTGCTGGCCACTCCTGGGGTAGTATTCTACATGATAACACAGTTACCTGGCTTTCCAAATGGAAGGAGAATGTAAATAACAAAATAGAATATATGTCTTTAGCAGCCAATAGCTCACTTAAAGGTCAAAGTGATTTGGAAAAATTTGATAAGGCTAGGGAACTTGATAAACATCTAGAAAAAATTTGCCATGATTACATAGAGGATTTAAAAAATAAAGACAGATTTGTTTGTCAATGTGCTACTGCCACATATCTTATAGACAAACTTTCACTAAGAGCAGGAAATGAAAAAACTGTTGAAGAAGCAGATACTGTAGGTTGTTGTTCTCTCAGGTGTGAGCATATTACTTTGGTAGAACCAAGGACAGTCAAGTTTGATTTTTTGGGTAAAGATTCAATAAGATACAAAAATTCAGTGGAAGTAACAGAACAAATTTTTGAAAATTTTAAAATATCTATGAAGGATAAGGAAACCAGTGAAGAGTTATTTGACAGTTTAAAGGTACAAAAATACAAGATTTAAATTTAATCAATTGCATATATGTGAGTGTGTTTGTGTTTGTTCTATTAATAACTTCAAATTTTCTTTTAGACTCAAGATTTGAATGAATATTTATCTGATTACATGGATGGACTAACTCCCAAAGTGTTTTGTACATACAATGCATCTCATACCTTCCAAATTGAGCTAAAGAAAGAGATGGCAAATGCTACTAATGAAACAGAGAAAATGGTAGCATATAATAAAGCAAACAGACAGGTTGCTATTTTATGTAACCATAAACATTCCATCAGCAAGGCTCATATAAAAACCACCAAATTGTCAGAACAAGATGAAGAAGATAATACAATAATTGCGCTGGGTACATCAAAAATGAATTACATAGACCCACGCATCACGGTAGCCTGGAGCAAAAAATACCAAGTCCCAATTGAAAAGGTTTTTAACAAAAGCCTCCAGGAGAAATTCCAATGGGCATCAGATGTTGATGCAGATTGGGTGAGTATTTTTTTTTTTTAATTAATTTTATTAAATAATAACATACTTAAATTTATTTTTATTATTTTATAGGAATTTTAGGAATTTTAGGAATTTTATACATAATTGGAAATTTTATTATATTAATTTTTACAAAAATTTTTTTTTTTTTTAAATAAACTTATATTTCACTATTATGTGTGAATAATTTTATATACGCCAGATATTTACTAAGAATGAATCAGTGAGTGCTTCGAGAATAGAGGCCTGCATGGGTCATCATAATTGAATGATTACTCAACCCGAACCCAACTTGTACATAAAAATTATAAAATCTCAACCTGAACTTGACTTATACAAAAAATTATAAAAATTTCAACCCAAAACCAACTGTACACAAAAAATTTCAATTAACAATGTTGTAACACAATTGCATCATCACCTGGGTAGCATCAAGGCCATGCCAAATCACAATTTTCCTTATGAATAATAAATCTGATTTTGATCACAGGTATCAGATTTAATTAAAATCCCTGTCACAAACGGGTGCTTCACACCATCTCATCCCTATGGAATTTTTTCCACAGGTGAGACACTTACAAGTTGGAAGGCTTTGGACAAAACATTCCCTTATCTTTCTCTCAGACCATGCTTGGCATTGATCACTGATAGCTGGTGTACACAAAAAATTTCAATTAACAACATTGTAACACAATTGCATCATCACCTGGGTAGCACCAAGGCCATGCCAGATCATAATTTTCCTTATGAATAATAAATCTGATGTTGATCACAGGTATCAGATTTAATTAAAATCCCTGTCACAAATGGGTGCTTCACACCATCTCATCCCTATGGAATTTTTTCCACAGGTGAGACACTTACAAGTTGGAAGGTTTTGGACAAAACATTCCCTTATCTTTCTCTCAGACCATCTTGGCATTGATCACTGATAGCTGGTACTTCTGTGATGATTGCTTTGTGTTATCCTGATCTATAGAACAAAGTTGGTGTCTGCAACTGATTCAAAATACTCCAACTCGGGAGGTTGCAACCTGGGTGGTTGTATTGGATTTTAAATACAATTTCAGTTGGTCAAACAAAAATTAAAGAAACAGAAAATTTGTGAAAATGATTAATTTTTACATAACATATCAAACAAAATTTATTTTACAGCTTTCTCCTTGATGTCAATGATCATGATGACCATCACAATGGGAATGGGCAGAGTTGAACTGCCATCTTTATACTTGTAAGAACATGCTCTAATTGAGTTACACTCTTTTATTAACCTAGGTTGAGTTGTATAGGCAAAGAGCCCATTTAAAAAAATATCAAGTTCAATTGGTCAAATAAAAATTGAAGAAACTGAAAATTTGGGAAAGTAACTAATATTTATATAACATACCAAAAAAAAATCTGAACCATTTTATTTAAAGCCTTCCTCCTAACATCAGAGACTAAATGGGATTTCAGGGCCACCGACCTGGCTCTGAATTGCAATCTCATGTGCTTGGAACAAGTTGCTGATTCTTGTTGTATTGATGGATCTGGATGTTTATGCACACCCAATATCACAACTCTTCAAAACATGACTTGGTTGCAGAGCCATCCTTACCCTAGAGGTAGGATTGATGCAGGCGACTTTTTCGCCAGCATGCCAGCAGCCTTCTCTGGTCTGGTGCTGTGAAAGAAGATTAGTGAAAGCGTCCTTGGCAGTCTTGGTAAACTCCCAGGGCCATGCTACCCCAGAATTCTATTGCATCATTGTATCATCAGTAGGGCGCAAGTCAGATTTAGCCTTATGCACATGAGCATCTGCTAATTTCCAATAATCAAACATTGCATACTTGAATTGTTTCATATTGAATTGTTTCTTCTGCAACAATCAGTCATACTATAATCGTGTAGTTAATTATAATAATAATAGCATTAATAACAATTACAAAAAGCAAAGTACCAATCATTTGTTTACTAATCGGTGGGAATCTTATAATTATCCAGAAAGATCTGCTCCGCATTTCGATTCCAATTAAAATATTTATAAACTAAAGACATATCAATGCAAGTAAAAAATAGCACCACTGGTTAGTTATTAGCACTTCTTCTTTAGGAGAACCATGTTTTGTCTGTCAAAAAATAAGATTGTTTTTCCAAGAAAAAAAAACCAATTCGCATAGTGGAAGTTTGTCATTGCATGAAATTTTATACAGAACCCATTGCTCCTAAAACTTCACCAGTATATAGTTGTTGCCTCTCTAAATTGGAGGTCAAGTTCAGATCCAATTCAAATCCAGTTCATCACTTACTTTTTATTGCCAGAATGTTTGCTAGTATTGTAAAGTTACATTGCACAATATAAAAAATAGTGTAACCTTTCAAATTTCCACTATGCTGTCAAAAAAAATCTTGTGCAACACCAAGTGCCAATAATAATATTATTAATATTATTTGGTTTAACATGTTTTAAAATTTTTTTTTTCAAATTAAAAATGTCTTCAAAGTATCAAAAGCGAAATGAAAATCAAGGAGTGGCTGAGGATCGAGGATAAGTGTTTATCATAAGAATGGCGGTGGTGGTTGCAATGCATTGCAACTCATCATCACTCTAGTTTATTTAAATAGTATGGTATGAGTACTTTAAAGTCCTCTTAAATTTTATTCCATCAAAGGAAATTTGGCCACGTGGTGTAATGAGTTGGGGTATTTAAGTGATACAATGCCTGCTTATTTGAAAATTTAATTTGGATATTAATATAAAAAATGAAGGAGCTAAGGAGATAAGCACTACCTGACAAAATAAAGGATCCGGAATGAAGATTTCTTGATTGTAAAATTATCATTTTAACAATTATTTTTATTTTTGTTAATAGTAATGTAGAAGAGAAATTATTCAAGTTTTCAAATTACAGAAAAAGAATACAAAAGAGATTAAATCCATCATCAGAAGACAAGATACAGTATAAGAGAAAATTTTTAAATTTGAATTTAAAATGAGGAATGAGGTGAGATCGTTATTAAAATTAGAAAACTCACAAGATCTGATGTGCGAAATCGAAAATTAGAAATTTTCCTACCTCAACTGCACTACATTAATCATTATATCTATTTTGATTGAATAAGAATTAAAAATTAAAATTATTTTCGGGCGAGTTTCTAAGAGTAACTCAATTGGGTGATCAAGTTCAATGACAAGGGAAATGTATGATCCAGATATACCCTATTACTATAAAAATCAGGCCCCGGAAAAGGAATTTTGTTCACAAAATTGGTAACATGACAATAAGAAACTTTTTTTTATCTCATTCATAAATAGCATTCTTTTGTTTGTGAAATTAAAAATGCCAATTCAAAAATATTTATACACAAGATCTAGAAATAACAAGAAAAATCTAACGCAAAAATTAATAAAAAGCCTAAAAATAGTAAATTAAATATATATAAATATCTTTTTATGATTCTTCCTTTGAATGCCATCCACTCTTCCTGACATATTAATACCTGATCTCACAAGTATTAACAATTCTTTCAAACCGAAATACACATAATGTCATTTGATTTTTTTTTTTTTTTTTTGTAGATTGTTGTTGGTTGATGATGAATTAGAAGAGGATATACTTTTTGTTGAAATGATTTGTTTTATTAGGTTTGTACATTAAATAACCTACTATATCTTGTTATTGAATTTGAATTTTGATTTAAATTTATGTTTTATTTGCTCAACAACCTAGACGATGGATTTAGCTTTACTTTCAATTACTCATCATTATCATTATTTTTTAAGTCCGGTCAACAATCTTTACCAAAATATCTACATCTTGAACAGTACTCTTTCTATATTTTAAAAGCTGATGATGAATTTGGGTCTTCTTTTTGATTTTAATGTTATTATTTTATTGAATTTTCATTAACCTCCTCCTCTACCACAAGCACATCAACATCACCCAGAATGTCTTCAATAGTATCACTGATATCAATCATTTCACCCCCATCAGTTGAAATAAATGAATAACGTACTTTTGACTTACCAAAAATCCTTGAACTTTTAATCGTCCCCATCACTTGTAACAATATCAACACCTTGTCCAGTATTTTTACGGGCTGATGTTAATATAATAGATTTTTGCTTTTGCTCTACTATATTCATATTGCTTCAAATAAGTTATTTTCATCATCATTATTATCATCATTTTGGTTATTGTTTATGATTTGACCACTTGAATATTATTAAATCAATCATTTATTTTTCTAATGGTGATGATGGCGACTGTTGCATGGATCAATGACATATAGCATTCTATGATCCTCAGGTTCTAATAGACGTAGAACAAATACTAGTTCATCTGGAAAATAGTCTAATGCATGCGAGCGAAGAATTAGAATCTAATTGATCAATTTATAAATGTTTAAGACTTAGTGGCGTTGGATATGCATATAGAGTCTCTGCTTTAGGATGTAATGGTTTTTCTGTTTATAAAATAATAATTTTATAATAATAATCAATTTGGCTGCATTGGTTATTGGCCTTGATTTGTTGTTGGTGATATATAATTAGGTTTGACATTATTATTTTTTATGCGATAAAACGGAAAGACATCACCCTTTAAAATAAATAACTATTATCTAAAACGGAAAAGTGTCTTAATATTATTGATTGATTCAAAGGATTTATCATATACATAAAACCCGCAGAATTTTGCTAAACATGAATTTCATATTTTGTCAAAGTTTTTTTATTTTTACAATAATTAATATATCTGGAAACTTGGTTGCTCCCCTTTTTTTGTTGAGCTTCGTTTGACATGTCAGCTAGTCTTACAGCTTAGGGATCCATAGTTTATTCAATAAATACAAATTCATTTGATACATGAACGAACTCCAGTGACCATTGATGGACAATTACAATTGAATAAAATTGCTGCAACAAAGTATACACAAGATAATAATGGAAACACACACATATAGTCACTAAATATGATCCAAATATATATAAATCAATGCCAAACAAAAGTTTGATATTTACAACTTTAACACCAAGTAATAATGGTCCATCCGTAACATTCACAACTTATTTCAATTGTCATGTGTTGAATGATGAAAATATAATTTACCTTGAACTTTTTGCAACCAAAGTAATATTATAATTTATCCTTTATTACTTAATTAAAATAAAAGGAATGAGAATGTTACATATTATATTGGTATATGATAATACATGAAGTTAAGAAAATTACAACGTTGTTTATACATGTTAAAAGTTCAATCATCTAGTTCTCTGATTTTCTAGAACTTTTAATTTGTCCTAATTAAATGTATTCCTTAAACATAATTTGAACCTTCCGTGTAGAGTTATTTTCAAGTTATTTCTAGATGTGAAAACCATTTACGCCTTTGTCCAAATGCCACAATTCATACTAAAAGAAATTATTTTGGAGAATGCTTTGATATTTCAAATATTAGTATACAGATAAATTGAGACATTTATGAAAATGCCATCGAAGAAGCTGATGAAACACATGAAAATTTTATTGAAGAATCAAAGTGAAAAAGTTTTGATTTTTATGATATTTAATTCATTTAATATAATTAATAATTCAATTAAAATATATAAATCAAATCTTTAGTATAAAAAGATAAAAAAGTGTAAGTTGAATAAATTAAATAAAATTTAATTGTAATGGCCAAATAATTTTTTTTTTTCTTATTACATTTTGAAAATCATCCAATCAAATTTCAACACTACTATACGTACTATACGCACTATACGTATAGTATCATATAGTGTTCAACTATACGCACATTTGCCCATCTCTAATCAGGTGTTGGCTCTAATATATTTCTTAAACTTGCAAATGAAATTCATACTCAATCTAATGTGTACCTTCCAGGAAGATAAATAAAAAACATGTCTTGTATGGCTATTAAAATTATAAATTAAGAAACTTTTTGCATGCAATCCGATATCTAATAGAAATTTGAGTTTGGGTTGGCTTGGTAGAGATTCGGTTGAATCGAATTTTATTGAGAAAAAAAAAACAACCTTGGGATCTTTAACGTGATGTGCTTTTACACTGTTTACACGTTCTAAAATAAAATAAAATAAAAGAATCGTTTTTAATAATTCGTTGTTTGACACTTGCAACTTCAGATTTAAACAACAAAAAATACCAACAAAAGGCTTTGTGTATTAAATAAAAGTTGTTCTGATGTTAACTCGTTTTATATGCTTCAATTGGATTGTCCATATTTAGAAATGATTTTCGTATTATTTTCGCGAACATATTAATTACTATTACTAATACATGTACTAAAAAGAAATAGAACTCTACAACAAATAATTTTTCGATAAATTCTCTCCGTTATATTAAAAAGCTAGAGACATTCTAACAACCAACTGAATTAGATTTTTTGTCATATAGTACAAATAGTTTAAAGGCCCAAATTGTAGGTATTTCAATATGACGTTTTCCTTTGAAAACCGTTTTAATAAAAAACGATCATTGCAATCTTTTTCGAAGAAAAATGCCAATTTTAAAGTTTATAATTGACAGAATATCTGTTATAATAGCCTAAAGATACTTTTAATTTTTTTCGGTGGAATTCCCATCTTTCCATCCCTGTTGGAATTTTTTTTTCTTGAAAATATATTATGTGTAACGTTGTGAAAGTAGTAAATCCGTATTACGACAAAAATTGGCGTACATATTTGTTTGTTTATCTGTTATATTCTACGCAAATCCCCCGTTTTAATAATTCATGCAGGTTATATATACATAGTGGCTTAGTTTAATGTTTTATGGATAAAAATAATAAAATAAATAAAGTGCATCACCCAAGTAATAATGATATTAATACTAAGGCCATGCAAAGGAAAGGAAACTTCAAGTAATCAAGTTTGAAAAAGTTGCACGAGATCCAAGTCTCTAGAACAAAATGAATAATGTTAAATCTGACATATTGAGCTTAGGTGTCAGATTTAATAAGATTCTCCTTCTACGAACATGTAAGCTCTTTCCTTTGTAGAATTTATCCACATTACTCACAAGTTAGAGGCTTCAGATAAATGAGAGACTTTAGTAGTCTCTTGAGAACAACGCAATCTAATAAAATTCAGAGCAACAAAACCCTCTGAAATTTGATCGCATCATCATATCTTTAGGTAATCATATCAGATTAGCCTTTGTACCCAAGGAATATCAGAATTTTAAACATTTGCATTCTGAGATAATTTTAATATCAGTAAATTCCATGTCGCATATTGAGTTGTATTTACAAATTGCTTAAAAGCAATTTTTCTTGTTCAATATTCGCCTCCCCCTTTCAATGGCTCTCATCTTCAATAGTTTTGTTGCTTTATCTCTGATGTTTTTGACGCTTCTTAAATTTAATATATAATTATTTTGCAAAACAAATATTGGTTAATTCTTTCATTATTTGATTGCTTATTGTTAAGTAAAAACATGAATTCATGGCTCTCTTCCTTCTTCAACTAAAATTAAGATGGATAACCTTAAATTATAAAATTACGTGTTACCAGTTACCAATTCATTTGTATAATCAAAAAACCTGTTTTATTTACTCTCTAACAACATAATAATAAGTTAAAAACCCCTAGTTTATTCCTTTAATATATACTATAAGTTTCCAACTTTGATCTCAGCTGGAAGATTGGTAATTATTCAATTTTATTAAATACTTTCGAATGTAAAATCAATTTAACAAGTCAGTGGTGACATCAAATAATTATTTAATCTCATCATCGGAAGCTTAAAACAATATAAAAATGCATATAAGGTCTAAAAAATAATAGTATTGGAATGCATGGTTTTTTCAATTCTATCAAAGAGTCAAACTTGCCAGAGAGGTATATAAAATTTCGACATACATGGCTGTTTTTTTATTCTTTGTAACTCGAAAGCAAAACAAATAAGTTTGAATGAGAAAGATATTCAGATGATATAGATAAATAAATACCATACCAAAACATGATGCGTATCCAAGCTAAATCTATCAGAATCTCCCAAACACAATTGAATGGCGAGGATAAATATGTGAATACTGCCGGGGAGATCTGTATAAGGTAAATATGTCAACGTCTCCATGCTTAGCAAAGATGGTGAGAAATTCGTGTACAGTATTGATTAACCCAAACGCCAAGTGTCATGAGCGCGAGCCTAGCATATAAGCTTTGGATTGGCTAGTCTAGTAATTCGCCCGAAAGACTAATTGATTATGATCATTTACAATTAATCTATTTTTTTTCTGATGGATATATATCAAAATGATATATCAACACAATGGATGTTATTCCATCCTTAGTAAAGTCGACGAAGAGAATGTGGAATGTTATCTTTCTTTAAGTAAAATTCTATGGTACTTTTCCAAAACTCGGAGGAAATATTATTAAACCAATAATCACAGAATATAAAGGATCTATGCGTTTCGAAGAGATTTGTGAGAAACCTTTTTCTGAGGTAAGTTACCAATTACCGTTGGAGAAAATGTTACGGCACCTGCTTAGGTAATGGTTATAGATCATGAAAGTGTTTCTTCCTCCAAAACACACGTGGAAAACTATTCTCATATAATCATGCTTGATACTCCTTGGTTGAAGATGCACGTGCTGAAATTACACTAATATATACGACTCTTCGAATTTCTCAAAATGGAACAATGTATTATTATAATGGCGGAAGATACCAAAGAAGAGACTGATTTCAATCCAAGTGGTTCTGATTCATTCTATTCTGATTTATCTAACTCTGGAAAAGAATATGGTACATGTTTTGTACGATATGCATTTCCAGTTGGAAGATCAAGCAGAAGTTAAGAAAAAATAGTTCGATTCCAAAGTAATGAATCGTAATCCTCAAAGTTAAATTACATATGGTGTAATGTCAAGTTCCAGTAGACAATTTAGAATTCAATTCTTCCGTGAATTATCATCACCAGAGAACAAACAAGGTGGAAGCTCACGAATGTGATTTAGACCTTCTTATCAAAGAGTTGGCAAAAAAAATAGATGAAATAGAATTTCCATTGTCTGAATAGGTCACAAAAGCTAACAACGCGTCATGTATAATGAACCTACATTACTGATCGTTCTGAAATATGACCATAGTTATAATAACAACTTTTATTTTTCTGAAAAAAAAAGAATTATTTGTCTATTTATTGAAATATATATAATATATATAGTATAACTATTAAAATAAAATATATGACAAGTTTTGGCATCAAACCTAAAACCATTCACTGGTAAAGACTTATTCGTCCAATTTATTTTATTTATCATCAATTATTCCATTCTCCGACATTAAAAAAAAATAATTAAAAAAATCAAAATTATATTTATATTATTTCTTACCTTTTATTATTCGTTATTATTTTTATTGTTGTTGCTAGTATAGTTATAGTTGTATTTTTAAAATTGGATATCATTCTTCAATAAGTAATTTATATCTTGATCTAATTAAATAAACAGAACTTGGAACTAAAAGAAAAGGAAAGATTTAAAAAAATATTGATTATGAAGAATTAGTAAATTAAAGATTAGATCATTCGATGATCAATAAAAATAATTAAAAAGAATTCAAAAGTATATTAACCTGAATGTTCTCTTTTATTAAAGTAAAGAGAAAAAGGCTATTCGACGCTATAGTTGTTCGCCATAATCGTCCTTCTTAATAAATGATCATTGCCATGATGCCATGATTAACTTTAATAGTTGCCAAGATTATCTCTAGAATTATTTGACTCTTCAAGTCAAATGACATATTAATATATAGTTATTTTATGTCCATTCATACATATAAAGAATATTGAGAATCGCCATAATCACTTTTCCTCCAAAAACAATTATGGCAAACAACTATATTTGACGCCACCACAAAAATATATTAAAGAAATCATACCCAATCCAAAGAGATCCAAAACCAATCTTACAAAGATGATCAAAAAACGATGAAAATAATGAAACAATATATAACAATAAAAACCTGACGAATTCAAAGAAGAATGCCATAGAAAATTCTATTTCGAACCGAAAGGAAATCAGCAAAGAAGTTTCGACTAAGAATTAAGTACATAAAAAAGCTATATAGTAAATGAAAAATCAAGACAGTGACAACAAAATGATAATAAAAATAATCTCATTCGACAAAATGTTTTAAAAACACAAATTTAATTCGTGAAACGTATAATGAAGCAGGGATTTATATATAAAAATTCGGGACACATTTACTATTACTAATTAAAAGAAATAATCGTCATACAACATACAAATTTTTATATCGCACCAAATTTTT